TATATATATTTTATGAAAATAAAGTGAATACCAAATTATGAAAAGATTGCATTATTTATAAAAGTTCATTATCACTTACAAATTTTTAAATTTTTTTTCCCTAAATAGGCTTGAAAGATTGTAAATAGAATTATGTTGTAAGGTTATAAATGCTGGCAGATAAGATTTTTTAAATAAAATCACTATACCATCGTAGGTCTGTAAATTTCGCGGCCGAAGGCCGCAGGATTTTTTTAGGTGGGTATGGGTAGATTTTGGAGGGGTTTGCCTCCATCAAATTTTCTGCCATGTAGACGCTGATTATCATAGTTGTTACTTTATTACGCTTAACAAAATCATTATTATTTATTCTTTATATTGCATCCAAATTAAAGCGCTTTGTACTCTATATTTAGAATAATATAGTACAATGTGGTATAACGAAAAATAATCTATATTTTTTAGGATCTTATTTTTAATTTAATGTTATTGCATAGGCGTAACCAGGATTTTCCTAAGGAGGGGGGGGGATTAAAAAATTCTGGGGGTGAAGCTCCCAGATTCCATTTTAAGTGGGCCTTCGGCCCGCTTTTGCCCGGTCTTCGGCCGGGTTACTTTAGGCTATATATAGTCATAAAATATTTTTACAAGATAGGAGGTTAATTTTAATAAAAAATAGGCCTGGAACAAATATGAAATATATTTTTATTAGTTTATATAAAATATAATAAATTGCTTGTATGTACATTAATATAAAAACATGGTAATAATTTATTCCAAACAAGTATAAGAAATTTATTTATAAAAAGTAAGTAGACATATAGTTGATATTCCTCTACTATTATATAGAATTGGTTACAAAATACCAGGTAAAATTCAACTTTTACAGACACATTTGACAGTTAGAGAATATAATACAGTTAATATTTAAAATTTTTTTACTAATCAATGCTCTTGTTAATAAATATAGGAACAATTTGCATTCAATTATTTAACGCCATCTATTTACCTTAAATAAAAAATTGATATCAAAAATTAATCTTCATATTATTTATCCCATGATGTCTTTAAAAGATATTTTCTAATGTCCTTATCAATATTTTATAGTTTTCTAAAAAATAAATTAGGTATATTGGTAAAAATTACTTGATTGTCATATGATAATTGATAAAATTAGATATACTGTAAATCTACGACATATAATATTCCACTGTTTGCATTGTGCTTTGATTTTTTTATTTAATTTATGATTTAATTTTATCAATAGTTTTATAATTATATTTTACTTTTATTAAGATAAATTAATTAAAATTACTCACTTTATAAAAAATTATATTTGATATATTTTATTATTTAGTAATTTTATAGATCTATTATTAATAATTATAATACATTTCACTTTTGTCTTAAGACTTATCTTTGGTTTATATTACATTTCTTAAAAAACATTTTTGGTTTACTTTTTTTATATATAAATGCTTTTTTCCAAAAATGTATAAATTATGATGAATAGTTTTATAAAAAAATATCAACTTTTGCATTCTTTCTATTAAATTATTGTTTAAGATATATGCATACATTTGGTGGTCAGGGAGTGGGGAACTAAGGGGGATATTTTATATTAGCTTAAAATGATATTCACAAAAAGTGATAAATTTCTGAAAGGGGGGGATTACCCCTTGACCCCCCCCCCCCTGGCTACGCCTATACTATTTACTGTATATTTGGTACAATAGGATTCAAAACATTTAAAGTGATAACTTTTGTCCAGTGCTCGTTCCTCTCTAAGATTTTGTATAAATATTAGAAAAAATTATACTTTTTTAAATAGTAATTTCGGGATTATTTCCGATTTTGATAAGCGTATTTTCACTTATAGGGTTATTATTATAAAATATAATAAAATTTAAATTATGGTTTTAGCTTAATTTTTTTGAGATATTCAAAATTAAATGAAGTATATTTTCGAATTTTGGAGTATTTAATGATGGCCACATATCAGAAAGTAAGCCGATTTAAAAAGTAAAATTTTATATTTTTATTAGTGTATAGGCTATCAACATACAAATATTTATACGTATGCGACCGGGTGATAATCGCGTTTTTTTGTTTGATTTAATATGGAATACAATATATATTTGATCGATGCTTAATCATCTATGTAAATGAATATTTAATAAGTATATGATTGAAGTATTAAATAGATTTAGCTTTTCCTATTTTATCAAAAAATGTAATTAAGCTCCCAATAAATTTACACTATCCCCCCTCCCCCACCAGCCTACCTGCAAAAATATTTCAAAAGTAAATTGCCATTACCTTCTCCTTTGCTTATAAAGACATTGATCTAATCAACAATTTATTTTTCAAATCTTTGATGACTCCTTTCATAAAACCGGTTAGGCCAATTATTTAAAAATGTGATCTGCAAAAATATAGAATTGCATTAAACAATAAAATATTTATATTTATTCAATGATATCTTTTACCTAATACTTGTTTATAAATTTTATGAACTTTCTTCAAATAATAATTTAAGATAAAGTTTTTTAAATATTTGAATAAAAATTATTGCGTAAGAGTTTTTTAAAAATTAAAAATTTAAAAAATATAATAGAATTGTGGTAGTTGTGTAGAATGTGGTAGTCTTTGTTGACATATGACAAATTAGTAATCTACAAGTAATTGATGTAGTTGATCAGATGGTCCTTACAACCCTGCTCCCCCCCCCCCATATAAATTACGTAGAGGCCTATCTGATAACTAAAATATTAAATAATTAGATAATAAGATGAATTTGACTAATATAATATCCCCCACTATTTTAATGACGCAATTACATAGTACCATCCTTGTTAGAGAGCCCTGGTCATTCCAGAAAGACCCCACATTGACCTAATATATACATAAATATTAACTGGAATTTAAAAATAGTCTTAAATTTACTTTAAATTAATGATTTGATTTTTATATATTCTAAATGCGTTGGTTTAGCCGATGCCCTTTACACCGCTTTAGGATAAGGATGTTTATATTCATATCCCACAAAGATTTTCCCCTACCACCCTCTAAAATTTTATCACTTTCAAAAAAAAAAATTCCCCTACTAAATCAAAATGAACAAATAAAGGATATCCAAATCAAAATTTACCCTCTATCCTTATTAAATTACGATAAAATCTTCATAACTACCCTCCCTACTCCATTTCTGTTTAAGATGCAAAATAAATCTTTTTTTATATATAAATTTTTTTGAAGGTTTATTCATGATATAAATTTTTTGTTAACTTAAATTTCGCAATGTTAGTTTCTTTTACCTTAAAATCATTTGTTTAAAAGTTTCTTTCACCTCAAAATTATTTGTTTAAAAGTTTCTTTTACCTTAATTTAATTTTTATATTTTTTATTTTTGTAGTTATTATAAAAAAATATATATAAACTCAACGAAATTTTAGTAAAGTAGATAATAATAAGTTTGTTAAAAATATTGTTAAATTATTATTAAAATATAAATTTAATTTTATAAACTCCCTGCCTTCCATCAAATTTTAATTTCAATGATGATACTGTAGTAAAGTACAAATATATTGTAAATCCATATATAAGTGGGGAAGGAAATTCGTAAATAATCAGTTATTATAAATTCCGATGAATAAATATTATATGACAGAATCATATGTATTAAATTGGCTAGATAAATATTATGTCAGGATCGCATATATTGAATTAATGTCGATAATCTAAGGATTCTAGGATTTTAAATAAAACAAGTAAGAAAATAATTCATTAATTGTTAAAAATTATGCCTCAAGCCAAAACCAATGCTGTCATAAATATAGATAAGATCGAAAAATTCCTGGTAAATGTGTCCATCAAGCATTGGTTCCAGTTATGGGACGCATAATGAAATTAAAAAATATAAGGACATGTTCCTGGTAGGTTTTGGCGCTGAGGGCATTAACATTCTCGAAAAATATTTATCTCCTGAAACCATTCAACTACTAAATTTGATAAGCTTAGAGGTAATTCTTTGGAGGTAACTATATATTTTTGAGCAAAATAAATCGATTAGACTTTATAAGGTTATTTGGGAATAACAATAAACCATTTAGAGATTTTACCAATAGGTTTAAAATAACTGATAAAGCGTGTTGTCTTACGTCGACAGAAGTTGACGGCCGGTTAAAAGATCAATTGGTTACGGGTATAGACATGCCAGGCCTCGAAATTAAACTTAAGGCTAAATATCCGTTAGAGTTGGATGTGAACAAAAAACCTTTGACATTCCAATTTATGCTAAATATTGCCACGGCACCGGAGCTCAGAACGAAATGGCTATTAAGAAAGACCTTATAAATAGATAGTGTAATCAGGCCACAACATGACAAACATAAGATGTCTAATTCACAAGTGTGTGTTAGAAAGATAACAATAATTATAGGAGGCTTAATAGCAAGTTTTACGATAATAAATATAAGAATTGTGCCTGTTGACATGAAAAATATTTATGACCAGCTAAAGACAAAACGTGTTTTAAGTGGCAAAGAACCAACACTTAGTAGCATGCTGCTGTAGTAAGCTTGTATATCGTATTCCCTCAAGTGATTTATTAATAATCTTTAGACAGGTGGATTAAATAAAAAGGAAAATTACAGCCAAAAAAACCCGACTTAGTGTAATGTTCGAATATGATACTGGAGCACAATAGGATTAAATATTTGGGAGAAAATTGGTAAACCATCAACATTTCCCACAAATTCATCATCAGCCTATGGTGATATATCTTTGGATTTAATGGGTGAAGCCATGGTCCGGGTATAAGTGGGGAAGGAAATTCGTAAATTAACAATTATTATAATTTCCGATGAATAAATATCGTATGATAGAAGCACTTGTATTAAATTAAATAATAAATATCATGACAGAATCACATCTTCTACTTCATACCCATCTTTCTTTGGAGGAAAATTTTGTGCGTTTGCCAAAAAAAAATCATTTAATTAGTTTAAAATATTGTGTATATTTTTTCCTTGGGGTTATTTGATAACAGAGGTTATTTTATTTAAACAAACATGAGCAGTCGCAAGTTTTTTGTCGGGGGTAATTGGAAAATGAATGGGTCAAAAGGAGAATTAGATAATCTAGTTAATTTATTGGCCAAAAATAGTTCTGAAACTGAGGTAGTTGTTGCTCCACCATTTGTATTTTTAGATTATTTACACAACAAAAAAACTAATTTTGGTAATAATATAACTAATTATATAATATTTTTTATAGCTCTTAGTGGGCAGAACTGTTACAAAGAATCTAAAGGAGCATTTACTGGTGAAATAAGCCCAAAGATGTTGAAAGATGTTGGTGCAGATTGGGTAATATTAGGGCATTCTGAACGAAGGCATGTCTTTGGGGAAAAGGATGATTTGATTGCTGATAAGGTGTGTTTCTATTATTGTAAATACCCTTATTTAAAAATTAAAAAAAATTATTTATCTGAATTGATAGATAAAAATATATTTTTTATATAAAAATAGGTTGCTTTTGCTTTAAAAGAAGGGCTCAGTGTAATATTTTGTATTGGAGAAAAAATTGAGGAACGAGAAAATAATCTAACTGAAAAAATATGCTTTGGTCAGTTGGGTGCAATTAAAGACAAAATTAAAGATTGGAGTAAAATTGTTGTTGCATATGAACCTGTGTGGGCTATTGGTACTGGTAAAACTGCTACTCCAGAACAAGCACAAGAAATACATCAAGCATTAAGAAAATGGTTGCATGATAATATATCACAAGATGCTTCAAACAAGACTAGGATTTTATATGGTGGCTCAGTCACTGGTGCTAACTGTAAAGAATTAGCAGCAAAGGCAGATATTGATGGATTTTTAGTAGGTGGGGCTTCACTCAAACCTGAATTTGCTAATATAGTAAATTCCAAAAATTAAATCATGACATTGCAATCATTTGACCTTAAATTATCAATAATGCATGATTTTTTATTTCTATATGTTAATAAAAATCAAAATTTTTTTATATTTTTAAATTGTTATGTTTTGAATTATTATAATCTATAATGTCCTGTCTTAATAAATATTTTTGATAACTAAAAAATTATGAATCTTATTTGTTTATTTTTATATATTTTATTATTCTAAATCAGGGTTGCCAAGTTTCCCCCATCAGTGGGCAACTTCCAAATTTTTTCCACAACATACACAGACTTTTTTACCATAAATCTCCCACAATTATAAAATTTATTTCACATTTAATTCTTATTTTTTTTTGGCATTTTAACATTAAATGAAAAATAATTTTTAGAAACAGTACTTGTATAATTTTTTTCAATAAATTATCAATAAACAAGTCTAGGTTTTAGTGAAAAAAAAACAAATTGATGTACCTCCCTCATTTATGGAGGTAGTTTTTAAATTATATGGTAAAATGTTTTAACCAATAACACAAGGCACAACATTTTTTGTTTATTCTGGGGTGGGGATAAGGAAAAATATTGCCTTGTATATTTTTAAATATGCATCATCGTTGTAGAATCTAAATTATATAAAGGTCACATTTTATATAAAAAACAAGAGATTTCTTAAATTTTGTTATTTTTTGATATCATTTAAGAAACAAATTTAAAAATAAAAATCTTACTTGACAAAATTAGTTCTTTTTAAAAAAATTTTAATAACAAAAAATTAGATCAATGGATTTACTTAATATAATAAATAAAGCTTAATCTACATACAATAAAAAAAGGTATAAATTAAAACTGTAAGAATTATATATTGCCAATTCTGAAAAATAAAATTAGTGTGTACAAATTGAGCATCTTTGTTGTATTTTTTTTATTTAAAAAAAACACATTGTTTAAAGTCATTACATGGAAAAATAAAGACATTTAAGAAAACTTTTAGCGTTTTTTAAATATAAAACGCGTAACAATTGCGCGATAACATTTGAATGAAATAAAACAAAAAACTCATTAATTTGGAAGCAATCAATATAAGGAATGAAATAATACTGATTTTCTAAAGTATAATAAAGTAGCAACTTTGATAGGAGTCAAATAAATCCCACCTTCCGCCCATAAAAAACTTTTCTTCCACAATTTGAAAATTTTGATCTGCCAACCCTATTCTATATATTTATAATTGTGATGTGACACTAAAAATACAAATAAATATAAAAACAATTATAAATTAAATGATAAAATATTTTTTATAAAAACATCATAAATAAATATGTGAGGGACAATTTAAAGGAAAGAGACATATGTTGCAATGGGATGGGAATTCTTTGGAGATTCAGCTACCACATTAAGATTATTTCGTGAGGGCAACTTTTAAATTCACTGATTTGACAGGAAATATATTCCAAAATGTATAAAGCAGTCCCATAACATGATGGGAGGAGGCAGGGATCTGAACCATACCAAATATTGATTCATACAAAATTTCGGTTTAGTTCTTAAAAATTAATATCGGTTTGGTTAAACAATAATACAAGTAGATCTTAGACTGGGACACCTGCAGGGTTGCCCCGCTGATCGGGTTGGTTCTAACGAGTTACGTATTGATTAAAAATTTCGCTGGAGGAGGGGAGGGTACATTTTTTTTATATATTATAAAAAAATATTATACTATAATCTAATTTCTTTATTACGAATATTAATAAATTATTTATATTTTATTTTAAAAATAATGTCACAGATTTATTACCACAGACATCTATACAAAATAAATATATAATAATAAATTTCCTATAAATCTTTCTTTTCTTTTTTTTTGGACTCTATTTTTTTGAAAACATTTCATTTTTAAGGATGATTAATTTTCTATATTTTTATATATGGATCTGGAATCCATTCCTATATCGAAGGTCCATTAATATTTATGAACATTAAATTTTATAATATTTAATCTAAACTCATCTAATTATCTATCATGATCAAATTCAACTGCAAGATACAATAATCAAACAGTTAAGAAATTTTTCATTTTAATTATCTATCGATATATTGTTGAAGCCTAGCAATCGTTTCATATTTATTTAATTAATTTTTGGCCGATTCTTTTGTTTTGCCAAATCGCACATTTAGGTTCTTAGGCCAATTTTTTATTAAGTCATTTTACCCTAGTTTTCAAATCACGGGATTGCGTGATGCCTCTTTCTAGATTATAATTGGACCCGATCACCGACCCGAGCACCAAAGAAAAACTAACTTACTATAATATTTTAATGTGAATATTTTGCTCAATCATATTTTTATGCATAGAAGACATATTTCAATATTAGCATATAAATAATTATGTTTAATTATATTAGCTCCTCATTTTAAAAATTGTCCTCTGCTTATAATTTGAAAATATGTAAAATTTTTACTTTAAACTAGGAACTCGAGTTGCGAACTCGAGTTCACGATCGGGAAACCAAATTAAAAACTTGAGGACGTTTAATATATCTATATTATAATTTTCCGATGTCCTAGCTATGTCATGTCATCAAAATTATTCTATTCCACATTCAGATCAACAGTAATACAGTAAATTCAATTATATATATATGTGATTTTCAGTTTTCCAACCTATCCTAATAAAGTATGCACAGTTATTCCTCAAATTATTCTATTCTAAATTCAACTGAACAATTTAATTCTAATGAGTCACATGAAATTTTAATTACAATGTAGTGGATTTAAAGTTAATTATAATACTCAACAAAAATTAGAACTAATAGGTCACACATAAAATTTTAATAACATTACTGTGCAGATTAAATTATATTATATTGAAGTAAATCATATATATATGTATTTTAGATAATAATTAGAAAGACCCATCTAATGGTGATTCCTCTGTGGGCTCAGTACAATATTATTTTTTAAATTTTTCTTTTGCTTTTATTTTAGAAAACAAGCCCTGTTCTAATCTCTCTTATTGATTGTACCGATGCTATCAACTATATATATATATATTAAAATTGCATATTTTTCTTATACTTTCCTACATTTTAGTTTTTTTTTAAAATGAGAATTTTATTTTTATTGTTTATCTATATAAATAATATTTATTCTTAAATATTTTATATATGATATGGGAATAAATAAAGTTAATTAAATAAACAAGAATAATATAATATTACAAACGCATATAGATTGGAATAGAAAAAAAGATAAAATTAAGTTTATCTAGGCAAGAATTTAATATCTTAGAATTCTATTTCGAAGTTAAATATATATAATTTTTATAATATAGTTGATTTCAAACACTACCTACGATGGTCCCAAGTCCGTGTGCAAAAAGTGAAGGGTTGGCGTCAGATCGTAAACCGGCTGTAAAAATCCACTCCAAAATGATGATAGTTTCAAATAAAACTCTAGAACAGAAAGCTAGGGCGTCCTCCACAAACGACGCGCACTGCATCTCCGCCCGTGCAATGCGAATAATACGCTAGGGTTATCGCCTGACTCACAACGAAGGCGGATAAGGAAGTTAGTTGTGGATAGAATGCGAATAACATGCTGGAATGTGGGTACGTTGACGGGAAAGAGCTTCGACGCACAAATGCTAAAAAGAAGAAAGGTACACATCGCCTGCCTACAAAAGACGAGATGGAATCGAACTAAAGCTCGGGAGTTAGGAGCAAGTTATTCTACAGTGGGTCACCAAATCGTAGAAACGGGGTCGGCATCGTTCTAAGCGAATCATACAAGGTGGTGGAAGTCAAACGATGTTCAGACAGGTTAATGTGGGTGAAGATTGCAGATCAAGGAGGCCTCTTAACCGCTATGTGCGTGTATGCTCCTCAAATTGGGTGTATGGAATCCGAAAAAGATATATTCTTCGATTCATTGGAAAAAGAGGTACAAGGAATACGCTAGGAAGAAATGCTAACATATGACATGGCTATCGTTAGCACTTATTTTCAAAAGCCTGAAGATCATATTGTGACTTATAGAAGTGGAAAGCATTTTAGTCAAATTGACTATCTGCTTATAGGTTGATGATGCTTACTACCAAGTGAATGTATGGAAATATTCTAAATACCAACCTAATTTGCTAAATACCGACCAAAATTTATTAAAATGTAATAAGACCCTTATTATTTAATATATTAATACGGAATCACGTGGTCGAGTCCAGCCTTCTATATATCATCCCCCCAAGGATGGAACCACCAAGTTAGAATAAGAAAAAAACATGATCATTCGCGGGATTCGAACCCGGGAGCATGGGATCAGTAAGTCAAGCTCTTGCCTACTATAGGCCATAGAGGTTTTCAAAAAATCACGATTTTTCAAATATATATTATAAATATATTTGGTAGTACCTATCCAAATGAAAAATGAACAAAATTCAAATTTGATAGATAGTACCTTTAGGTAGTAAGCATCATTAACCCTGCTTATACGGTGAAAGGATTTATAGAGAATCAAAGATTGCAAAGTAATACCTGGAGAAGAAATCGCCAGGCAACATCGTCCACTTGTCATGGATCTTGAAAGAAAAGGGTTTCCGGAAAGAAGAAAGGTTTATGAACCTCGAATTAGGTATGAAATGCTAAAGAACATGCCGACGAACGATAAATACCATCAGAAAGCCTCCACACTCTTGGGTGCCAGGAAGTTAGAAATAAACGTAGACGACGATTGGGAGACGCTAACTGCAGACATAAAGGAAATGGCGATTCAGATTCTAGGACAAACCAAAGGAGGCAAAGCTTTAAATAGGGAACTATGGTGGTGGGATCAATCGGTTAGGGATTTCATCGAAAGAAAGAAAATTCTATATAGACGGTGGCATAAATCTAAAAAGTCGAAGGATTATCAAAAATATAGGGAGGCAAAGAGAGCTGCGAAGAAGGCCATTGTAATAGCGAAGAATGCTGCGTACACCGAGATGGCAAACAAACTGGATCATAAAGGGGGCGACAGGCTTATGTACAAATTGGCCAAGATAAGAGAGAAGAAAAGTCGCGATATCGAAGTCCTTAAAATAGTCAAAAATGAGCTGGGTCAAACCTTATTCAAGCCGACGGAGGTGATGGAAAGGTGGAAAGGATATTTCAAGGAACTTATGAATATTGCTAATGACAAAGATTTCCTTCCCGATATTGAGCCAAACATAATTATGGTCGAACTCTTTCAGGAGGATGAAGTTAGGACTCAAATGACAAGATGCAAAAAGGAAAAGCTAATGGCCCAGATGGAATTCCTATGGAAGCATGGATCGGATGCCGAGAAGAAGGAGTCACGACTATGACGAACCTCTTTAACAAGATATTGGGAGAAGAACGAATTCCTAATCAATGGAGAACAAGCACGATTATACCCTTATTCAAAGGCAAAGTAGACCCTCAGGAGTGTGGTAATTACAGAGGTATCAAGCTAACTTGTCACTCCTTGAAACTTATGAAAAGGATCTAAGTAACAAGGCTGAAGAATGAGGTGGAAATATCGACTAACCAATTCAAATTTATGGCCGGCAAATCTACAATCGATCCGATCTTCGCACTAATACAAATGATGGATAAATATGGAGAAAATAAAAGAAAAGAAACTTACATATGGTCTTTATTGACTTGGAGAAAGCTTATGACACAGTCCCTCGCGATTTAATATGGTGGTGCTTGAGAAAACAAAATATCCCTGACGCATATGTACGGCTTATGAAAAATATCTATGAAGCCTCAACTTATTGCGTTAGAACGACAATTGGAGACTCTAAACCTTTTCGGGTTGAAATTGGATTAAATCAAGGATCTGCTCTAAGTCCTTTTTTATTCAATATAATTATGGACACGATAACTTGAGACATCCAAAAGCCATCTCCTTGGTCTATGCTATATGCCGATGATATAGTACTATGCGAAGAGACAAATGAGAAAGTATTCGAAGAAGCCGAAAAGTGGTCAAAACCAGCGTTACATGACAGGATTTTCACTGGATGCAAACCCCCTTCGAAAACCTTTACCTACTCCTAAAAAATCCCGCCACCTTCGGCGGCGATATTTCTCCATTATTATTTTCCCTTTTTAATTATAATGATACTCTTTTCAGAGAATTTATAAAGGATAACTTAAATTAATCTATCACTACTACCAACTATCGATATTTTGGGAATATAAAGGATTTATTTTTTAGATACTAAATTCAATTAAATCCTCCATTATTTACAATAAATTCAAATAAATCCTCCATTATTTACAATGAATTCATTATTATAACTTTATGAGCTTGCTGAAATATCTAAACCTTTTAAATGTAATTTAAAAGGATAGCAGAAAGTTTTATTTAGAAAACAATGTGTATGATTGTTTGCAATATATAGATTTGGTCGATGAATTGTATTATAATAGTTCTATAATAAAATTATTAATTTTTACAGCAATAAATTTTGTCCTATTTTATCTCAAAATTCAATAGATAACCCCCCAAAAAATTTATCCTACACACATTAAATCCGCCTACCCCCTCCAAAAAATAGGATGCAAACTGTTCCTACCCTATCCGCTCATGTAGACGCTGGTCAAAACGCTTAGCTGGATATGGTTTAAAGGTCAACAATCGAAAAACGGTATACATGGAGATGAACGTTACAAGCACCCCATCCAGGGTTGCCATGTATCACCCTATCAGCGGGAGATTCCCGCAATTTTTTAGTTTACACGCAGACATCTCTCTCCCGCAAAACTACCGCAATTTTAATTTCTCCCGCAATTTTTTTTAAAAGTTTTTAATATATAAATAATAATTTTGAGAGACAGTAATTGATTATTTTTATATTTTTAAATTAAATTTTAAATATTTATTCGAAAAACATGTCTAGTTTGTAAATTTCTTTCTATCCTGTTTTATTTTTATCCAATAATAAATTAACATCATTTCATTCATCAGTGCAGGGGAGTATATCAACATTGATTGAAATACAAAAATATTCTCCATAAATAATAAATAATACAGATGCAACTACAGTTGCGGAAATCGTATACAACTATCATGTAGTTCAACATTTACAGAGCTATATCCTCACAATGTGGTCGAATCTTTTTCCCATGATATTTAACGACTCCATTATAAGTGCAAACTTACTTGTGGTAGAACAAAAATGAGTAAGACTATCACAAGTGTTTTAGTACCTGAATCCTAGAGGTCAATACTAGACGATTTGAAAGATAGGCATCCATATGCAATTCTAACAGAATCAACTAATAAGGGAAATATTAAAACATTTCCCTCGATCCATCGCTATTTCAACAAGAATAAGAACATTTCAATAAAACTATTAAATTTTTTTTCCTTGGATAGTGAAAAATTTAACGATGTAGCTAACCACATAATGTAAATATAGCTGATTCAGAGTTATCAATTAATTGCATGTCAGCTTTCTGCTCTAATAACGCCTCTGTAAATTTTGGCAAAAACCAAAGTGTAATTACCGAATTGAGGCAGCACAATAATGAATTAATACTGACTGTATATGCCATATACTACATGATTCTTGCAAGAAGGCAATGAATGTACTATCTGTGGATGTCGAAATAATTATGATGAGATGTTTTAACGAATTTAATTCATCAACTAAAGTTAATGAATTAAAAGAGTTGGTGGAGTGGTCTGACTTGGAATGGTGTGAGTTGTTGCGATATGACATTATCAGGTGGTTATCATTAATACCTGCCATCGATAGAATTTTAAAATTTAACAAACCCTTAAAAAAATACTTTTCAAATAAAGATTTTAAGCTGTCCCAAAATTTTGAAAATTTTTTTCAATTATAAAATGGCAGAAGCATATTTGGGATTAGTTTCACATGTAGGAAATCTACTTCATGCAGTTAATATTTAGTTGCAAGGGCGTCGCTAGAAAAATTTTTTTATGGGGGCGAAGCCCCCATACTCCCTATTTGCGGGCCTTCGCCCCGCTTATGATCGGCCTTCGGCCGGGTTTTTTATTAATATATTATACTTTTTTAAAATTAGTTAACTCTGAACAATTATTCTGATTTTCATATTTTGTCATTTATTATATTATGCATACAAAATAAACTGTCATATAAAAAACATATAATGCAGTAATATAATTCTTAGCAACTTACATTGACAAAAAGTTATCAAACTAGTATAACTCTCTGTTACCATTTTAGACAATGTTTTATACAATAAACTAATAAGAAAAAATTTTATAGGCCTCTACCAAATCAACAATTTTTGAAGAAAAGAGTATAAACGACCAATCCAAATCATAAAACTATATGGTGGTTAGAGCTTCCTTTTAGATGACATGATGGAAGCTAGATAAGTAATCGAGAAAATTATCATGAGATATTAAATTTCTAAAAGATTATCTTCCATTTTAAATGATATATAAACGACTACACAGTTGACCATTATTGTTTATCTAAAATATGCAATCATATTCTCTCAGCCGTTGTGTAATAATCTTAAATTACATAGCGGCACAAATAATATACACTGGTTAATTTGCAGTAATAGCCATGACACTCACGATGTAAACTTATATCAGAATTTATTATGTTGGATAAATTGATAAAATAAAAACACTAAAAATTTTGAAAGAAATAATTATGCAAATTTATTGCAGCCTGTAGTCATTTACACACAGCAATGCCATATTAGAAATGAAACATTTTCTAACTCTAAAATAAGGACCAGAATGATATGATGAAACAATTAAGATTTTATATATTGTCGATATTATATCTTAAAATAATAGTAGTTTGTATTAATATCAAAAATATACTTATATTAAAAATTTAATTCAAAACTGTTTTTCGAAAAAGAAAAATATAGAAAAAAGAAAAAAAAAGAAGAGAAGAGAAGATATTAAATTTATTACATCTATTGCAAGATGAATAATAAAATGTCTAATTTTTAAAATTATTTATAACTAAATAGATGGCGTTAAATACTTGAATGCATATTGTTACTATATTTATTATCAAAACCATTTATTAGTAAAATTTATTATAATATTAACTGTAAAATATTATATAGTTGTCAAATACGATACGTCTATAAAAGTGGCATTTTGTCTAATATTTTATAACCAACTGTCAGAGTTGGGCAGTACCGCGAATATTTGTATCTAAGATACAAGATCCTTTTGTATCTTGTACTCAGTATCTTTTTGACCTTTTTAATAAGATACTAGTATCTGTATCTAAGATCCTTTATTTTGAAAAGAATCTTGTATCTTTTCCATTTTCTTGACAAAGATACATACAGATACAGATTCTTTTTAATATTCATGTTTAAATAAAACATTTACATATTACACAATGTAACTTTATATTCTTCGTGGAATCTATTATTTTCTTTATTTTTTTCCTGCTATATTTTAAATATATTGATTACCAAAATTAGTTGGAAATTTTACAGGTCACAAAGTTTGATAGATTAAAAATAACAACACCAAAACTATAAAATTAAAGGATATATTTTATATATAATATTTTTTAATTTGCAGAATGATTAATATTCATAGTGAAGAAAGTAATGAAGATGAAATTATGGAGATAGGTTCTCCTGAATCAAATCTGAATCTTAAAATCCTAGATGGAAAATTTTATAAGATAATATATGTGAAAAAGGACAAGGTACAAACGGAATGTCAAACTTGTACAAATAAAAAAGTTATTAAAGGATCAACAAACTCATCTACAAATTTTATTAAACATCTTAAGGTATTATATTATATTTATACATTTTATTTTATTAATTAACATACTTAAGTCCCTCTTAGATAATGGTTATTTTAAAATTTTTTATAGATGATGGTTGATTATCAAATTAAAATCATTTTGGATATTTATTTTTTATTATTTTAACAAGTTCTCTTATCAGAGGAAATACTTAAGCTACAATTGATATAATATAACATTAGATAATTTTAAAAGGCTCTAAATAAAAGAAATTACATTACAGTATTTATTTACTAAATTTAATCAATTTAGAATGCATAATAGAATGTTATGTATTTAATAATTAAATAATATAATGTTGTACATTATTTTCATATTTTTTTTATAATGATTTTGCATGAAATATATAAAAAAATTTGAAAAGGGATTTGAATGATATTTATAAGATGATAAAATAAGTAAATATGATATTACAAGCACAGACAGAATTAATAAATCATATTAGAAAATGAAACTAATTTAAAAAATACATAAATATCATAAATAAGTTATAAATACTTATTAAAGATAAATGAATAAAATAAAACTAGTATATTTTT